TAGCTCATCCTGCAGGATGAGCTATGTTTTGTTTACTGAAGGAAAAAAAATCAATAAAAGGAAAAGTGGCTTCATCCTGGCTCAAACCAGGACATTTGTCTATGGTAAAACATTCTGATGTCTCCTTTTAAGTACTTTAGAGCAATTTTCTGAGGAGACTGATGGCATTAACATGTGCAGATAACCAAAGCACACCTGGTTCCTGTCTGGGTTGCACAGTCAGCCTATCATGAATTGGAAAATGGATAATCTGCTATCTAAGATTGTTTTCCTTAACATAATAGTAGTAACAAAAAACCTCACAGAAAATGTTTCTTGTGTGGTAAAGTTCCTCATATGCCTGGCTAAATTAATTCCAGTTACAGTAATGAAGAAGGAACGCTCCAGTTGTGGTTTCTGTGTGGTTTGTTGTGTTTGGCAGCCAATAAGGATCAGCTCCAGCTTTGAGCCACCCCAGCAGTGGTAGAGTAAGCACCAGTGGTCATAACTACAGAGGCCACAAAAGAACTGAGCATTGACACTTTGGAAGTGTACCCCACACAATTTACACTATGATTATCTGAGGTTGATATTGAAATGACTGGAGGATGTATGGTCTTACCAACATTCCTGCATACATTTCAGTTCCAAAAGGAGCCTATTGAAATAACATGGAGCATGACTTTTAGATCTACCATAGCAAGGAAGAGCACCGTTCAAGCGGAAAGGCTTGCTCTTATTTTGTATTTCAAAGGCTTTTGAAACTGCTGTCTTCCTTCTTTTTCTTGCAGAAAGCCTTACTTAAGCAGAAAGGCTTACTCAAAGAGAAAGATCAAATACTGGATACTACTTAAGAATAGAAATTCATATTTCTAATGCAAGCATTTGACAACAGAAAATGATTGAGGAATAAAATGAGATTAATAAAAGAAATTGTCATCACTGGCCCTACCATACAGAAATCATGTATAAGCTAAATGACTGAAGACACTAAGTTGCAACGGAGGTCAGTTTTTCCCGAAAAGTGTTGCTCTCTCTTATTGACAGGAACACTGCTAATCCCAGAGAAATTAAACCATAAGATAAAAATATCCAGAAAATGCCACGTGCTACCACGCAGTGACATTTCTGAATTATCCTATATTTTTGAAATCCTATATACTAATATCCAGGGCACAAAACCAGAACAGTGTCCCAAATATTAGACATTTCTTTCTTTCTAGAAAAGATGGAAACAAACCTGGGAGGACCCTGTTGAGGAAGAATGCTTTGTCCTTTATCCTGGCCTCTAGCAGCACAGCTCTGGGTCTCTCTGTCTGGTTCTGTTTACAGAGGCAAGACCACAAAGCCCCTTTCTGTCTAGTACAACTGGCATGCCTGGTGATTTGGAGGATCAGTTAACATACATCATTCAGCTGCTGTATAAAACTACTCTATCAGTAAACGCCTCAGGGCTGTGGGGCATCTTCCTCTGCTCAGCTGCTGTGCCCTTGGCTTTCCAAAACATGGCAAAGGAGGCTATGTACACTTTAGAAGTACCTATTCAGCTGGGCACATCTTAGCGAATAGGTTGATTATATCTGGGTGAAACCAGTTTAGACCAATCTGTTTTCTGGGGTTTGGGGCTGAAGATTGGACATAGAAAGCGAAGGGAGCAGCTATTAATGCTGAGTCAGAGTAACTGTGGTCCATCAGAGATGCAGAAGCAAGCACAAAAAGACATGGAAATCCTGGGCACATGGACAGAGGCAATCTTTTTGTGGGCAAGATCCTTTCTAACTAAAGAAAGAAGATGTTGGGTTAAGCACGGAGAGATGCATGACATTGTATGGAAGAGGAGGAATTAACCAGAAGTGGGGTCCTGGTCTCTGAAGATACTTTTGGTCTAAATTGCAAGAGTACTTGAGAGCAATGACAAAAAAAAGCTAGGTAAATGCTTACAGGTATTTTAGGGTTTTATGCAACCTGCTACTTTTATTTACAAGATGAAATAAAGAGTAGTGGGGTTTGAGTCCTTGTGCTTGCCAAGGATCTAGAACTACCACCAAAAGTGCAGCCTTAGGGCTTGGCCTGCTGTGATTGATATATTTGCAACATTAATATTGAAAATTTGCTGTGAAAGAGAGAGGTGAATATTCTTATATCATTGTTACACTCACCTATTTCTCTTACAGTGTATTGCTATAAGTACAGTAGCTGTTTAGCATCCTAGTTAACATTATCCCATATCATATAGAAGGGTATGTGAAAAGGAACAAAATGAGGACTGTAACCTTTTCACCTGAGTGTTGTGGTGTTTGGGCTTAAAAGAAGCCTCTAGTGGTTTTTAATCAAACTCTCTCTATATATAGCTAATTAGTATTGTTGAAATGTTAATGCTTCAGCTACTGTCAGTGTATTCAAGACTTATTTCCATGAAACTTGTCATTACCCTGCCATTTCACACTGTCACTTGGGGTGAATCTGCATCACAAATAACCGTGCATATGTAAATTAAAACATTAAAATTACACAATTAGAATTAATCCGTATAAAAATGCAGATTATGAAATCCCCAGTCTTTGAATTGGTACCCAACTGAGGGCACAACACTACACCATCCAGAGTTTCTCTGAAGATGCTCGGGACCAATATATCTGTCAAAGAAACATGAATGAGTCTCAGACACACTTGCAACTAGTTTGTGGGGACCTTGAGGGAGTGGCAGGAAGCAGCAACTGGCATTACTTTTTCAGCTGATTTTTCAGCTGATTACAGTTTTCAGCCTGATTTTCATGAAGAAGCCATTTCCTCTGGCTGATGGTGTATACACTTATCGAGCCCTCCCTTAATTCTGAAAGAGGCAAGGCAAGCAGGTGAGGACAGTAGTGGGTAAGACCTGGCTCTGTATCTCAGGGATTAATGCCCTGGACAACTGAGGCAGGAGCCATACCTGTGAATATATGTCTTTTCAGCCCTCCTCCTGCCTCTTTTTTTGGGATGAAATCTTGAATTCACAGTGTAATGCAGCAGAAACTCTTGCCAACCCTTACAGTTGCAGGAGCTGTACTTTGCCAACAACTTTTTTTGGCTTTTTGGCTCCTGATGCTTAAAGCATGATGGGATCCTGGAAGACTGCATTGTGTGTGATGGAAGGAATTGTCTAATTTTTTTTCTAATGCAAACTGTATCAACTGGAAGTGCTGGTATCTATATGGGTAGGAAAGATGTGATTTCAGAGAAGGAGCTTCCCTAAGAAACTGTATAGTTGTAGGTAGGAAACATGGCTTTATCTGTATCTCTGTATTTTAGTTGGGAATCACCTTTATGTGCTCTTTATGGCAGATTTGCATATATGAACAATGTCTGACATAGCATAGCCACAGCTCTGTGATAACAGTGATCTCACAAACATTTTAAACATTTTTCTATAAAATCCAACCACCTGGAATTAGCTACTTAGTGCTTGCATGTGCAGCCCTACTCATTCTCTTGGAAGCACATTCAGCAGAATTGTGAGAGACAAAAAAAATGTGTATTTTACCCCAGAACTTCTGTCATCTTGGGGTCTCCTAGGCTTTCCCAAGAACTGGTCCATCCCTGTGTCTCATGCTGGCTGGTCAGGTGGAGATGTCAGGTGGGAACCAGGTGGCAGTGAGGAACTCAGTTTTCAATTAATATAGTACCTCATATCCTTTCTCTTTTTTTTTTGTTTTCTCCAAATGTGGTCAAGAATAGACATGGGTTCTATTGACAGAGCAGCCTTTAGAATGGATCCTTTGCCAGTTATATGTACAAGGGCAGAAAAAAAGACATTTTCTGAATAAAATAAAATAAAAAATATGATTTTTCTGCCTCCCAAATCCAAATACCTGAAGCAATCATATTCAAAGTTTACCATCTGGCTGATAAAGGGCAGAGAAGATTTTAGCCAGAAAGCATGGAATCCCATAAATTTATGAACTGATGAAAATAGGATTCATAACATTTGGGTGCATGTGAATAACTAATAACACACAGCCTTCTGTTGGTCCCATCTAGGACAATTTCTATTTAAGACAACGTACAGATATGTATAGGCAACAATCATTGTTATTGCTACTGACCATGACAATCAGCAATCTTAGTTAATATACCTCTAGATAGGAGTCAGGGAAGTAACAATGACAGACTGACTGCTGCTGGCACATAGATTTTATAAGGTTTGCTTTCTTGTGATTATGTGTGTGTCTCTGCACACAGAACAGCTGAAATATGCAGGTATTAGGGGAACTAAACAAAACCCATATCCCTTTAGGTAAGCAGGAAGTTTAGAACAGCCGTTAATGCAGACAATGAAAGTTAGTATTTCCTTTATTATGTACACAGAGAAATCCATGTTAGACAGCATATGTTAAGGACCTGGGTTATTGTGGCTGCACATACATGCACACAGATAGAAGCATGAAAGGAAGGAATTCAGAGCTATTAATTGGGATTTACATTCTAATTTATTCTCTCCAAGCGAAATAAAAAGAAATATGGTGCAGACGGCTCCCCATTTTCCCCATATCCAATCTGTCCACGGTGTTTGCTTGCAAAGGGGAAAGGCTACCTTTGTTTCATGTGCATGTAGCCCTTGCCACAGTGCATAAATGCTTCTTTGTTGAGCTCAGAAGCCCGAGAGTGCACAGAGGTGTAAGGAATCTGAGACCCCAGCTTCTACTTTTTATCACCTCCCCAGTGGATTACACACGCAGCACAATACAGTCATTAAAAACAGTTACATGTGAAATGACCCAGCACCTCATCAGCTTGCTGATGTGTCACTTTATGGACAGACATGCAGCAGCAGTTGCTCTGATAACAAAGTTGTCTTTTTCTACTCTTCACACCCCTTGCTGTGTGCTCAGGAGAAAGGGGAACCTCCTCGCATCCTTACCCAACGACCCACTGGGGCATTAAGCAACTCTCTCCCTCCTTTCTGCACCCTTTGTTTAAAGCAATGCCTTCAAAGATACAGTCCGTGGGGAGGGAAGGGATAAAAAGGGATATTTACTTACAGAGCAGTAGCGGGCAGCTAGTGTCACCTCCTGGACCAGGGACAGGGGGTCACATCCATTAACACAGGTGTAAAGTGCACACCGACCTGTGTGCAGCGGAGAGCTGTAGAGCCAGCTGGGGCTTTCTACTGCCTCTGAAGAGCAGCTCTTCTCATTTCAGCTCTGCAGTCAGTGTTGTGTGGAAAGAGGCTGCTGCCTTCCCCAGCCTAGTGAAACCCCTCTCTATCATTTTACCATATAAGGAGACAAAAGCATCGGAGACACTCATTCTTTTAGGCGCTCTGCAGCTGGCATTCGACACTTTTCTCTATTCCAAGGGTGTCAATACTTCCCCCTCCCAAACATCTTGTCTTTCTTGGCCCCTTTCCTAAAACAAGGCTCCCCTCCCCTCCTCCAGCCTTTGTTTCTCTAAACCCCTGATGCTCATTAATAACGTGGCTTTGCTAAATCCGGGGGATTGCTCTTTACAGAAGGAAAGGTTTTGCAGCAACTCAAAGTCAAACATTTGTAAGGCTCTTCACCTGGCTAAGAGAATGAAGTATTTGGTTAATATTGGTGTGAGGCTTTATTAGCTTTGGTTCTTTTGTCTGCTGCAACTCAGTGCCTTTCCCAGAGCAGAGTGAAACATGTTGTCCCTCTTCTCCTGTGTGGAGAGGTGTACATTTTTTCTGAGAAGCAAATGTGCAGGCATTTCTTTATGAGGGTTCAGAGCCCATTCTTTTTTCTCTCCACCCTTCTTTCCAAGTTCCCTCTTAGTGAGGAGGAACAAGAAGAAAAAACAGGAAAGTAATGGAACAAAAACACCCCTTGTGTAAGAGAAAGCCAAAGGAACAGATTGTCTCAGCACATGCTCAGGACCCAGTGGAGAGCCCTGCCAGTGGGCACATGCTAAAGAGCGGGGGAACCATTAATCCTCCTATAACCAGGAACTAATTTTTCTGCTACAAAATCCAGTTTCATCTATCAACTATTCTAGCAGAAACACATTATCTTAATCAAAACAGTGAGGGTCCTGGGAAACCTCCCAGAGGGGAGAATTTGTATCAGAAGCACAGGGGAGATGTCTGCTCTCAGCCATTTGAGAGGGGGGAAGCAATTTTAGGGCAATACTTCAGTAATGACTGATGCTTGCCAAAGGGAGGTGCTTTAATTTGAATGCTTTCAATCTTAAGGGAAACCAGCAGAATAAAAATGTGAAGCCCGTGAGCCTAAAACAGTCTTGCTTCGTTTTGCATCCAGATGAGGCAAGGTAGTCCAATGTCTTTTTGTGTTGGACACCGGGTGGTGATGTTTGGATGGTGGTGCAGGTGTGCATATGGGTTGGCTAAGGGTCTCCTCCTGCAAAGCAAACTTATGCCAGAACCTGGACCTGTAATTACAGCCCTCTTGTGCACCCTAATGGTTGTGAGATTTGAAATGGGGATGAAATTACAGTATCAGCTCTCCTAAATGTAAAAAATCTAAATCTAAATCCATAAAAGGTCAGGCAGAACAAAATGGTGGGAAAGGGCCATTTCTAGTTCTCTAAGGAGCAAAACCTCATTTACAGATGTGAGTTGTCTTGATGACCAGCAACGTCTGTGGGTTGATCTGTCTGTTGCTGCAGCCTTTGCAATTGCATTTTCAAAACACTGGAATTGTGTCCTGGAGGACCAAGTGGACTTATGGAATTTAGGATCTGGATTCTATGGCAATTAAATCTTATTTAAATAAATCTACTGCCCTCCTCAGCCACATATCTCTGCTTCCTCCTTTGCATTTGCACTGGTACTGGAAGATGAGTTAAACCAGATGAGCCCTTGAGCTACGAAGAAGCTGCACCTATGTCTTGGGAGAGATGCTTGTTGAGTTTTGAGCCCCATCACTGGCTTGCTGGATGCCTTTGGACAAGACATTGCACCTTTCTGTTCTTTAGTTTCACTGTCTGTAGATATATAGCTCAGGACAGCCAAACTCTTGTATGAGTTGTTAGCAAATTTTAAAAGGACTAGTTAGTGCGGAATAAAAATAATGTTGTTGTTTTTTTTTCTCTTAGAACAAACTACTGCACAGTGAGAACAATAATAGATTTCCATTTCAGTTACAGTTCCGACCTCAATTCTAATTTAGAAGTGCATGTAAAGAAGAAAAAAGGGCCCTACAGGTGGTTAAATTTGGGCTATTTAAGTCAGTTGATTTCCAAACCTTTTTAAAAGAAATTAAATATGCCAAACATGTTTTATGTTTTTTTCAATTTCCATGTTATTTTCATTTCCCTCACTGTCTATTGACAGAGTTTTTTTTTCTCCCCAGTAGGTCTCCCAGTCACAAGGCTTTTTGCAATATTCTAATTTTCCTTTCCTCCCCTCAGTCCTTAAGTAGAAATAGCAAGTATGAAATATCTGAGTTTCAACGATTCTAATGAAGATCCTGCTTCTGAACTGCATTTAGTTTTGGTCCCTGCTCTGCAAAAAGGATGTGGACAGGCTGGAGAGGGTCCAGAGAAGGGCCACAAGGATGATCAGAGGACAGAAGAACCTGCCACATGAGGAGAGGCTGGAAAAACTGGGTTTGTTCAGCCTTGAGAAGAGAATGCTTTGGGGAGACCTTATTATCATGTTCTAATACTTAAAAGGAGGTTACCAAGAAGATGAAGATTCCCTATTTACAAGGAGTCACATGGAAAAGACTGGGGGTAATGGGCACAAGTTGCTCCTGGGGAGATTCCAATTGGAAACAAGAAGCAAATTTTTCACCATGAGGGCAGTCAAACATTGAAATAGTCTCCCAAGGGAAGTGGTAGATTCTGCCACGTTGGACAGTTTTAAATCTCAGCTTGACAGGCTGCTGAGCCATCTCATAGTATTACCTAAAAAGGTTGGACCAGATGACCCTTGAGGTCCCTTTCAACCTGGCATTGTTTGGACAATACATTAAAGCCACCATAACCAAGGCAGATAGGAAACTTAACACAAAGTGAAAGTCTGTCTGCTTTGGGCTGATGCAAGGTTTCTTTTATTTTTCAGATGGCGTTTAGCTACATCAATGTGAAAAACTCAGTGCTTTAGAAACTCCAGTCTAATCTGGAAAAAAGTATTTCCATATTTGCTTCCTTAATGTATTTGAATAGTTTTCACATAAAATCTTCAACAATTTTCTTCAATGAATGTAGAGAACAGTGCCATGGCTCTGAAGCAAGGGAGAACTTCTGGTTTTGTACAGAAAAGTTATCTTCAGAAGGATAATATGTTGCTAGGTGATAAGATAGATGATACTGACCCAAATTCAAAGGAGTTTCTGTGATATCATAATCTGGGATGGAGCTCAAAGCAGTTTAGATCACTATGGTGATTATGAACAAAGATTTTGTTCAGGTTTTAGTTAGTCAGGACCTCTTTTTCTATCTAGTTAGCCCCAGTTTCATTCAGAGAAATCTGTCTCCTGAAAAAGATGTCTCAAAGTGAATGTGGCAGTGAGACACTGATCAATATATGGTCTGCTACTGTCCATGTAATTGCTGCTATATCCCTTTCTCCATGGATGACTGAGATATAGAGAAGGTTTGCAATGGATGATCCAGGCATAAAGACAGCTACGACCCAGCTACTGCTGCTTTCCTCTGTCTCAGCTGGGCAGACAAATAGCTCTTGTCACTGATGAGCATTGTACTGTGAATGGAAGGAATCACAGGGGAGGACAGTAATGGTGATTGAGGTAGGAGCAGGGAGAACACCAGAGGAAGCTTCATGGAGCAAGCCAGGGTTTTAAGGAACTGGTTATCTACCAAGGAAAATCCCTTTTGGTGACAGTTGAGTTTTTAACAGCTTGGAAAGCTGAAGCACTATGTTACAAGACTGACAGGTCTTTCACTGGACAAGCGGCATCCATGGAAGGGCCATCCCATGTCCTCATGGATTAAAAGAAGCCATAAAAGCCATTGCAGGATAAAGGCAGCCCACCAAACAATTCCCCAAACAGCAGGTGTCTGTGCCGTGTGGGCCAGCCATCCTGGAGAGCCCTCACCAGGCTGCTAATGATGAGAGGTCAGAGACCTATGAGAAGGAGCTGCTCTTTCTTTCCATTTATCTGGATTCAATTTGATTGCCATGTGGAGCACTGAGTATGACAGATGGGAAGACGCTTTTGAGTTTTTTATCCCTGCGAGTGGAACCTGGGATGTCAAATTACTACAGAGTATGCAGTAATTGCTGGTCTTTTGAATTGGCAAATGCTACCTTTTAATTTCGGATTTATTCATTTTAGTATAATCATGATCTATGGCTCCCTGTTTCAGACACATGAAACAAGCACACTGTGATTGTTCCAAAAAACCTAATCACTCGGTATTTCAGATAGAACAAGAGACATGCAAGCTGTACAAAATAGCTCACATACCTAGTATTCCCTGCAGTGTTCCCAGCAGTGTTCCCAGCATGCTCCAGTGTTCCTAACAAAGTCCCCTTTCCAGAATCCTCCCCCTCCCACTGCCCCTCTGCTTGTGGCTTCTTCTCCAAAACCTTACTTCTGGGTGAAGCACAGCACTTTTTCTGCCTGCATGCTTGACATCTTTCATGACCCTCTAGAAGCAGCCAACAGAAACATTTGTAACCGGCGTTTCCCCTTATCAGCCAGACCAAGGCCCTGGGAGCTCCTGAGCAAGGAGAGGTTTGTAAAACCGAGCAGTTGGCAGACGTCTCAAGAAGTTACCTAACTCATTCCCAAGGCAGGAGTGACAACATCTATCTCGTTCTTGGCAGATCTTTCTCTAATTTGCCCTTAAGGACTAATGCTAGGACTCCACAACCTCCAAAGTCAAATTAGCATAAATTTGGTCAGTCCAACACAGTTGTAAAAAGACAGAGAGAAAAAGATAATTGGCCTAAAGTTTTCAGTCTAACATTTATGTCTGTAAAGCATAATTAGTGTCAGGCAGAACCTGTGATATGTAGGTCTTCAGATCATGCTATAGTAATCTGAGAATCACTGAACAGAAGGGATCCTTGAATTCATTATCCTGTTTTTGGGGACTAAGAAGCATCTTGGGAAGAAAGTGAGACTAGCCTGTAATGCTATCTCCTCATAATACTCTCCCAGCCTCTAATAACTTTTGGCTTAGGGATTTCTCAACCTGGAGGCAGTATCCATACTGAGTATTACTTCAATGAACTTGCACAGTTCCCTTTTGATCCCCTGAAACTCAT